TTTTCAATGAAAGATTTTAAGGTTTTCTGTCGTTTTGTTTTCCTGTCTTTTCTTATATGTTCGTTTATCTTTTTACTCAATTCAGATATTTTAAGGCGTATTTGTTTATCTTTTCCCTTATGAATAAGTTCTTTCCTCTCATCAAGTAATTGTTTAGTTTCTAAGGATAATATGTTTTCAAATTCTTTATTGGTCTTTCTGGCTTCTGTTTTAAGTATATGCAATATGCTATCATATCGTTCTTGAATTGTTTCATAGTTTATATTTGTATTTTCATTTATTGCAGTGTTTAGGTTATCGAGGAGTGTGTTCTGATTTCCAGTGAATACAATAGTGCTTTTGTAGTTCTTATTGCTACTAAATCTTCTTTTCTGTACTTGTTTTCCTGAAAAAACGGCTCTTAGCATTCTGTGGTCTGTATAGAAGTTCAGCTGGTTTACAGTACATACATCATTAAACATCTTTCGATTATTGGTCAGGACAAAGTCGATTTCATTCTTGCATTTGCCATTAGGTGACATCCATGTCCATCTTCTCGATTTTTTCTTCTTATAAAAACTGTTTAGGATGCTCAGCTTGTTTTCCAATGCAAAGGTGACTAATCTGGTTCCATTTTTACTTCTTCGGCCGTATCCATGTTTTCCTATTGTATATTCCTCTCTTTCGTTACAGACTCCTATTTGACAATTAAAATCTCCCATCACAATAAGATTTTTATGCGAGCCTTGTACGGCTGAATTTAAATCATCGTAGAATTTGTCTGTTTTTATATTGTCTTCTTTATTATCTGGTTCAGTTGGTGAATATGCTTGGATTATGGTCCACATTTCTTCTTTATCTTTGTACGAAGGCAATTTAATGTTAAGCATTGCTATTCTTTCGTTGATTCCTTTAATTTCTTCTATTTTATTTGATAGGTTGGTTTTATAAGGAAGCCAACACCATATAAACCCGGTGTCTCACCAATGTAATGGAGTATATACTTGCCATTATGGTCCTCAATTCCTTCTCCAAACCGTCGCATTTCGCTGATGCCAATTATATCCCATTTTATATTGTCTATTGCTAGAGATAGCACTGTTAGTTTTTCCGGTGAGCGTGTGTTCAGGGTTGCGATGTATATGTTCGATTTAGTTTTTCCTTCATTCTTTCCATTTAGAGGGTCGTGGTCATTTTCCCCCACGAGGACCAGTCGGTTTGGGGGAGGATTTTGTTTTTCAAGTTTTAAATTTTTTGTATTAGTATTTATTTTTGTATTCATTGTATAAAACATTTAAAACTCTATTAAACAGGTGCATTCCAAAGTCAGTGGACCCTTGCAGCCTGCAGCTATGTGAGCAAGCGTGTGAGGTGCGCGATGACCGCGTATGGTGTACCTGTCACCAAGGTTTCCACTTCGATGCAGATCACTACAGAAGGAAGACACAACCTTACTGCGTTGGTAAACAAAGCAAATAAAATATAGCTACTTTATTTTCATACCCTGACATCTCTACTGATTCATGAATGCCTGTTACACAGATGTGGATGAATGCTCCACAAACAACGGTGGTTGCGAGCAACGGTGTGTAAACGATCCCGGTGGTTATCACTGCGAATGTGCGCCTCCAATGGTCTTATCGAGTGACGGCAAAAAATGTGAACCAAGAGTAGCAGTCCCAGTAAGTTGTAGTACTTAATTTTGTTAGGAGAGAGAAAGAAGACTATATCATTATCTTTGCATGCATAATTATTCCTTGTAAGAAATAACGCCGCATCATAATGAAGCCCTGGTATGAAAACATTGAAATATTTGCTATCAATGACAATGGTGCTCAATGTCACACATTTTTACTTTATCTACTTAATCACAGTCACAAGGTTATTATTCTAAATACATGATTAAATATTTCTTTCTATCATTCTGTTATTTCCTCTTCGTAGGAGTGAAATCTTTTTAATCGTGAATAAAAGATGTCATGTAAATCAGCCTAGATAACCGCATATCTGCAGGAGCCGCTGCCGCTGGTGCGAGCGTCTTCCAGATGCTACGCACCCTGCGACACTGTTAGCTGGCTGTCTAGGAAGGTCAAACAACTGAACGATCAGCTGCACACCACTCAAACTGCGTTAAAGAAACTGATGGAGAGTCCTGCGTTAAGAGATGGTAAAATGTTCTTTCTAAATTGTATTTTCAGAATATGTGTGTTATATTTTTAGAATAGTTTTCCACCACTTTCTAAACTTTAATCTATTTATTTCAAGGAGATAGATTCGCAGAAGGAAGCTACGCCTTTAGAGTGTTAGATTCAACAGCGAAACTAGAAGGAGGATACTGTCGATGTGAGAGAGGACCCAGGGTAGGTGAAAATAAATACCTAATTGATATTAAACGTAGAAGAATGTCTTCTATTTGATTGCATGGCGCTGTGATTGGTCGAAAGAATGTCTTCTATTTACCTCTAATTGCATAGCGCCATGACTGGTCGACCGGCTGCTATGCAATGAGTCATAAAATCAATTCATGCTTGCAAAGACACTGATGTTTGAGAAATTGTAGCTCCTGGTTTGAGTGCGATGTATAAACGCACCGCGCTTGACACAGGAGAAATAATCTAGTAATATAAAATTTAACATTACAGGGTCCTGCTGGCCCACCCGGTATGGAAGGACCAAAAGGTGACACTGGACCGAGAGGGCCCCGCGGTCCACGAGGACCGAAAGGCTCATTGGACCTCATGCTGTTAATGATAGCAGACTTAAAACATGACATCCAAAACATAGAAGCGCGTGTGTACAAAGATGAAGAGAAGTAAGTGTTGAATAGAAAATTAATTGATAGAACTTGTTCGAATCGCGCAACTATTAAAACATGAATGAAATCCAAGGTTTCAAGTTTTATACCCAGATGAGATTACGGATAATTGGAATTCAAAAAATATTTACCTAATATATAACTTGACGATAAAAATCTCAAAAAATAAGAAATAATCGAATTGAATACGATCGCTCAAAATAAAAAAAATGCGCCCAAAATATTCAGTAAAAGTAAACTAACTGACAGATAAGTAATATTTTATATATTTCACTACAAGATAAAATCGGGTGATATCAATGTTTGTTTGTTTGTTCCGGGCAGAAACAGATTAACTTATGTACACAACACGCCATTACTTTTAAGTGAGATAAGATTCATCTAAACTAGTCCTTTGATAAAGATTCGGGGCAAAATCGTTAGGTAAACAAAAGTTAACATTACTTATAGGTACCTACCATACCTATCTAGGCTAGGTATCTCTTTTCAGAGATTATACAGGACAAAAAGTTCATAAGTGACTCATGTCATCATCAGCCTGTTTTCGTCCACTGCTGGACATAAGCCTCTCCAATGGCACGCCACTGAGCTCGGTCTTCAGCTCTACGCATCCAACCACTACCAGCCACTTTACGTATATCGTCACTCCACCTAGCTGGAGGGCGCCCTACACTACGTTTGCCTAGACGCGGTCTCCACTCCAGAACACGTATACCCCAGCGGTCATCGGTTCTTCGACAAATGTGACCGGCCCACTGCCATTTCAGCTTGCTAATCCTTTGGGCTACATCGGTAACTTTAGTTCTCTGTCGGATCACCTTACTCACGTAAGTGACTATTTCATAATATTTTTCCCTTCATGTTCCAGACCGGAACGTTTCAACCTGCAGAAAGCCTGGCTTCGTCAGCGCAAACGAGACAAACTGGAGAGGGAAAGCAAAACAGAGCAAGAACTAGAAGCTTACACTGCACCTCCCATTGAAGGACCTGTTGATATTTCTCCAAACGGTTAGTATTTATTATTAAAAACACTATATATATTTTCTATCTAGGTTGATAAACTTAATCATTTCACATTCTTAACAAAATGTATCTTTTCATTCATACCTACTTTTATTACTTGATCGACTATATTAAGTATATTTATTTAGATTACAACGTAATAATTCAGATTACTTACTGAGAAGTTTAGCCATTTCAGTATTTTATCACATATTCGCACAATTTGGCCCGTAGTGCCATCTAGCTTTGTTAATATTATTATCAATCATGATCAGCAAATTGCGTTTTTTTTATCACGAAAAAACAATCAGAACTAGGGTGCGCTCATCAAAAAACGACCACTTGTGCCAACTTATGCTAGTAATTATTTTTGAAGTCGTGAGACATACCTACTGAATTAACTAAAAATTACCTCTGTGACTCGAAACTGGTAGAGATTTTCTCAGTATATTTACGTAACTCGTAATTTTTAAAGATTCTCCCATTGTTCCATCATAATCCCGTAATAGTACGGGAAAAATCGGTCACCACAAAACGTAATACTTACATTACCTCCAAAAACCTAGACTCAAGAATTTTTCTTCTCCCTTACAGGTTTGAATGGCGAAATACTCCACGAATCAACAACAGACTGGTCGCTGGTGAAAGGGGACACTGATCCATCCGACCTGCCACTAGGTTTGATGGACGACATGGCAGCCTTAGAGAAACTACGCCATTACCACATATTGGCCAACCTGACCACAGCTTCTGACGATGAAGAGGAACCAGACAACGATTACGATTACAGTTTCTACTAGGATAACATGATGATAAAGGAGATTTTGTATAAATTAGTGTTTGATTTTTAACATTTTATAACCTAAGTTCAGTTTTCAAGAAGTGGGCTTTACAGTTTTTCAGTTGTATCCAATATGAAATAAGCTCCGAATACAAAATAATACTGGCGTAGATTGAGCCCAGTGGATTAGCAGTAGAATTAGGTGTAACCAGTTGTCTACTAGTCTCAGCAGTCTTACTTTCCGGACTAGAAACCAAATCATAATAATATTATCGTCGCGTCACCGTTGACTAAACACTCGAAATAGATGCATATTCTAAATCAGATCAAATGAGATGTGTACTAATTTACTGTCTCACTAACTACATCAATGACAGTACAAAGCGACTACTCAAAATGGAACAATAAATAAAACTCCAAAACATAGGATAATAATATAGACTCTTTCAGTACACATACATTACATAAATCCAAGTGATAATCAACTCTATTCCTATAGCAATATTGTTTAGCTTGGCACCGACGGCTGGTATTGGGCGGCGAGACGCTTGAATTCGTTGGTCTTCGCGTGGTGCTCCTTGGTGAATGGGTGGTCTGGGTGACTGTCCAGAAGTTGGGCGATGTAGCGGTTGAATACCTGGAGTAAATAGATATATTTTTTTATGGGATAAGCCAGTAAATGAGCAGACGGATAACCGGAACATTTAGAACACCAGAGGTGGTGCGTTACCCGGCCTTTTGGGATTAGGAATTTAAGGAATGTTGGGGATTCAGGAATTAGGGAAGGGGGGGGGGGGATAATTGGGCCTCCGGTAACCTCATGTTGTTGAAAAGTTGAAACCAAAGTGTAAAGCTGTCATTATAATAAAATGTGTTTATTGGGACCTGCCTTCGAGTTTTGCTGTACACGCCATATTTCACTAAATTCCAAGTAAAATAAAATGATGATACTTCATTAAGAATTACATTAATAAATTATTGCAAGAAATTACGAACAAAGTATAATTTTACGATAACGGTAACTGTAATTCCAATACGTACCTCGGGTGCCTTCCCGCTATGTGCAGCAGTGACAGCGAGCCCCAGCAGTAGGTCGGGCTGCTGCGGAGCGCGGACCTGCGCCTCCGACAACATCTGCTCCGCTTCCTCCCACATACCTAACCACAAAAAGTTTAACGTAAATATTTAATCATATAAACTTAATCTTAAAACACAGAAGTAAAGAAACTTTCTTTACTTTAAGAAGGACAAAAAATACCATTATGGGTATTTTACCATAGTATTCCAACAATTTTCCTCTTACACTATTAGATTTGTGATTAACTAAATAAAACAAGAATTATTTTGCTCCTATATTACTGACCTCTGGATGCAGCAGCGGCGGCTCCGACGGCGGCAGGCCCGGGTCCTAGCGCGCCCAGTCTCTCCGACAGCTCCATTATACTATAGTGGGCGTCCTGCACTCCTGGTCCACCCTGCATGACAGATTTCACCATTATCAATATTTTATGAGCATGTTTGCTAATTGAATATGATGCTTAAGTTGCATAGCCATAAGAACTCATTTGTTATAAGGAGCTGTACTGGGGGCGGCTTAATTTATGCAATGAGATTTATTCAGTGACAATAGAACTAGTAGAATTTACTTTTGTAAGTCATTGACACAAATGAACATTTCAACATCAATAATACAAACCTGCGACAAGTTAAGCCATGCTTGTGCAAGCTGTGTCAATGTGCTGTCGTCTTCAATATCCTGCAGCAACTTGAGCTGCTTGCGAGCCAGGTCTGGTCTGTTCATAGCCAGGAGACACTGCAATGTGAATGCACGGAGTTCTAGAGACTCAGCATTGTGGAGGATTCTGTAATGCACATTAAATGTTTCAAAATAGTATATTTTGAAGTTGATAACTAAGTAATTTACAACATTTATTTTTCTGAATGATATAACAATATTACAGTAAAAATATATGGTAGGACTGATGCAATCCAGTATACAATAAATTAAATAAAGGATATGTTGTGTAAGTTAATTATGTCATATTTTTTGTACAACAATCAATCTACTATTACTCTTAGTTCCATGAAAAGATAACCAAAACTTACTTTAGAGCTGCTTCGTAATTGTCCTCATGGTAGTAGATGCTAGCCGCTACAATTAGGAAAATCTCATTGGTCAACTCTGTGCCTTTAGCCACCTGAAAGAAATAATGTCATTATAGTAAAAACACACTAAAAAAGAATACATTTCTGATTTATACCCCACATAGCAACAGTTTTTTTTTTTAAGGGGGGAAAATCATCGAATGACTGTTCCCGCCTGGGTGAGGCGGGAGGGAGTGTCAGACTCTTACTGACTAAAAACCACCCCGTTCCTTCTCCTGCACGTCGAGCCGGAGCCCCGGTTACCCGTTAGGTTCTCCGCGACACATAGCAACAGTTGGAGTAGTGACTGGCTTAGTGCACAGAATTATTCTGTGAAGTGAAATTATGAATTTGTACACACCCACAATACTGGATAAAATCCTTGTGGGGTATAATTTTATAAAAACAAGAATCAAGTTTTTTAGTAGGTAATAAGTTGAAAACAACCTTAAAACATTACATTCAGTTTACTTTTGTTATGAAGAGAGATTGCATCATTCTTGTTATTTCAAAAGAGAATTTCACTATTTCAAATAAGAATCTCATGAAGGTAATATGTTAATTAGAATTCTTGTTATATCAGTCACAGTCAGCATTTAAATTACACTGCTAATGGTAACACTGCAGTTATGACCAGCAGGGTTATTATGACGTCCTAAAGTCAGAATGGTTCCATTGACGGAAAGAAACAAAGTTATACAAGTCGGCTAGCGAGATCTCGTTCCCTCAGCGGAATCACTCTGGCTTAAGAGTAAGACGTCATAATACGCCACCAGTGCCACTGCCAGTGATTACTTACGCGAGCATCAATGTCAGCAACAATAGCCGGTTTGTTAGCACCGGGTGACAGGTACTCCACTAATGTTTTCAAAGGCTGCAGCATAGGATCCGCAGTCTTAAGTTCTTGCAGCACGATCCTATAGTTGCCTTGGGCGATGTACGATCGATACAGGAATGCATCGCGTTGGAGGGCTATGAGCGGTGTTGATGGCTGGAATAGTGAAGAATTGGTTTTAAATAGGGTTTAATATTTATTTAATATGAAGGGATTCCATTAAAACATTAATAAGTTCGAGTTAATGGGGAAAACAGAAGCGGCACAACGTCACCGCCCAAAACAAGTTGAAATTGGCATCAAATAGAGATATTTATGAATTGTTTGGTTTCACAAAGTATAGCTTACCGATACGCTCTGCGCCTCGTTTATTGCTTGTTGGTAATTTCCAACATAAAATGCATTTTTAACATCAAAAAGCTCATCAACATCTTGTTGCTGACGTGCCATTTTGACAACTAACTGACGTTGCCTAAAATGTTGACACCGACAAAAAAAACTTGTTAAAAATATTGTTTAGTGTTGCAACACTGAGAAAAAGGTTAAATTATAAAGTTTTCTGTCTAGCTCTAGCCTATTTAGTTTCATACGAATACCACCAGATAGCGTTACTCGCACTTATTTTACGATTGTTAGTTTTACGAGTTCAGCCAAAATGGTACGATTGTTTACAAGTTTCGAATGAACTGGTACAGTAATAAAACTGCGGTTATGATAACTAGAGGGCATTACTATTATGAAATCAAACTGAAATCATCACGACATCGTTTTCGAATGGTAAAAACTTAAAAAGTAATAAAGAACCATAATAAAGCAGGTATTTTAAGAAGCTTGTTAAGTAAATAAATAATACTAACAAAAAATACCCGGCACTTTCAATCATTGATATTATCTAAGTATTATACCATTGAATACAAAACGCATTTAAAAATCATTGATTATGTTACTTTTAGAAACAATAGCAAGGTGCATCTAGAACAACTTTTGCGGAAAAAAATATTTAAGTATACCGTCCAAAATGTTATCTTACACTTGTTAAACAATAACCATTAACAGAAGAGTGTTCTATTTGTATATTGCACTTTTACTATGCAGGTAATAACTAAACTCAGGTAGGCAAGTACCACCTGGACCTACGAAGATGGTCTTAACACGTAAGTAATTACATAGTGTTGTACAGGATTGATAAAACTACATAAAGTAATTATAATTTTTAACTGCCTAGTTGGCAGAGTGGTCGCAACTGTGACTACCGAGCAAGGGGTCTCGCGTTCAATTCCCGGGTCGGGCAAAGTATAACTGGGTTTTAAAAAAAATCTCAGTAGTAGCACGGAGTCTGGAACTGTGCCCGGTATATGGCAATAGGCTCACCCCCTATTACATGGGACTCCTAACATAAATAGTGAAAAGTGGATGTTACATTGTGCTTACAGTGGCATAACGTGCACTTCTGCCTACCCCTTCGGGGAAAAAAAGCGTGACGTTATGTTATGTTAATTTTTAAATGTCAGTTACTTAAGTAGTTCTTTCTCGATACCTTGAAGTTTGATCCAACGTAAGCGTGCATTTAATACATGGTCGTTTCAGTTTCATACATAATAATATTATTATTTAAAAATCATAACATTTTTATTTTTTACTAATGCCAGAATTAAGAAATGGTATATATACATGTATTGTATTTTTTGGATTCTATCTGAGAAAAAAAACATTCTTAAGATTTCAATGGAACTAAGGTAACATGAATGAATAGAAGGTAACGACAATGTCGGTAATAAACTATAGCTTGTAACAAAAACACATTATTTTCGCACCTTTTCTTTGTATAGGGAGATAAGAACGAAGATATTTCATTGTGTAATTCATCAGGTAATGGTATAGTAAGATACTTTGAAAAAATACCATTACACCCTTACTTACAATAATGTGTCTTCATCATTCAAAGTAACTTTTACGTTGCATTTTTCGCCGATATTATTATGTAAATACTGCATAATATACAAATATCCTCGTGGTAATTAATGTGGATTTCCTTAACTTCTGTATTGTTCTACACATTTTACAGTCGTTGTCTGACTAATATATATGTAGGTACTTATGTATCATTTGGTATCCATATAACATATTGTAAGGCAATACCTAACAATTTAATGCCGAAATTGTACAATCAACGAAAACTACATATTAGTTACAGTTACACAGTTGCATCAAGGATATCTAAGCGAGATACCTAACTAGGTCTAGTGATTAAGTCTAGTGTTTATCTATTTTAAAAGTTTGAAGTTTAGTTTATACCGCAAATATGCAAAGGTGTGATGCCATACCATTTACAATTAACTAATTACAAAATAACTTACTAGATGCAAAATCTTGTTTATCTTCGTGCATGTCTTATTTCAGCAAACTATTATTTTTCAAAATTTCTTAAGAATAACATCGAATATTATGAAGATAGTATTCTTTTTAGTATGTAATTCTTTCATAATTATTAACTTGATTTGCAATATAAACCTATAGTGCTTAGGCAAGAATGTTTTAATTCTGTTTCCGTTCATAGTAACTTGCTTCTGTTACAAAATCTAGAAATTCTGTTTTACGTACTTTGTCTTCCCTCAGTTTATTTAGGTATATATATTTATATATTTTAATGGTGCTTCTCTTATCTTCAACTTCTTAAAACAATAACAAACATTTTCTTATAATAAATATAAATCAATGCACCAACGGTCTCAATCTCGTTTCAAATTCGACCGTTGAATAAAATAACCGAAATAAAGGCGTCTTGCATTGTATGCAATTGCAAGAAGGACCGGTGCACCGACAGATGTGAGCCAAGGGCCTGAGAAAAGGGTCCTTACTACTTACAATACTTAACCGGGGGTCGGCAGAAAGCAATGTGAAAGAAATTTCGCAAAACGAAATCTTATAGAGCTCGAGAAATTAGGGCGACGCACGAGTCGGTGGGAAAAGCTCTGTATTATACAGACGTGGGGGAATTTCTATAAAATTTCTGCTAAATACGATTAATGTAATTGGACAGAGAATCAATAATTATTATTCACGTTTCCAAGTACCAAAATTAAAAAAAAAACATGCGCACGCTGTAGGTAATAATTTCTCCGTTCTTATGCATTCAATAGAAATATAGGTTAATGCGACATTAAAAGGACAGTGACTTGCACAAAACCATGAAATATTAAGAAAACATGGTCGACGCCTTAACTGACACCGTTTCCAGAAAAGTCGCATTGCTACTATGAATTCACAAGTCATCTTTATCTGCTGGGAACCTCAGTTACTGGGAGGTCATGTCCTTCAACTGAATATGTTAGTGGGCTGGTCGTTTGGACCGTTGTGAGACTGAGGACCGTATGATTTTGGAAGGGTTACCGTTTTGTTTGCAGGGGATTAAGAACTGGTTAAGAACGATCCGTTAGTGACTAACCCTACAACTCGACTCGCTTGGGAATTGGAGCACCCTTCTAAATAACACCGTTATTTAACTACGACTAAAACTACTTAATTGCGTTTGGTGGAAGTGACGAATGTACTACTTTGAATACATTGTAGTCAAGTGATAACATTTGACCTATACTTTGACGAATTCGATGATTCATTTTTATGTACTAGTTTTTGTTATTAATCGTCATTGTCACCTTACGCCCACACATAGCGTCGATATCTTCTGAATGTTGTTCTCCTAGTAAGTCAATGTTCGCAACACGTAGGTAATTTGCTCATTTTTCCGTCCGGCCACATTGGCAAAGGTTCGTTGACCGGGGCCAGCTGCTGCAAGGCTTGATCGAGGGTCGCGACCCTTCGTCAAGAAACCAGCCCTCAACTCTAGTACCCAAGATCTGATTTTATAGCATAACTGGCTGATTTGAATTTTATACGAATCAATTCGCGGTTTATGGGGCAAACTAATTTGAATTTTGATGGATACATTTTGTGACGTAGGTACCTACTTACTTTATTTATCTAAACTTTATTAAATCAAAATTTACCAATGGATGTATATCTTCGGATTAAAACATTCTACGAAACAAAACATCATAATATAAAGACTCATGTGTAACATAAGTCCACGAAACTGCAATCATTCGCTTGATATAACTTTATTATTGTACAAAATTAAGTACACCAAAGAAATAAATCACAACAATATGTGTTTCGATTGAAAAAAATAAGTAAGTGCAGGAAAAAAGTGAACAATTGTATGAAAGAAACCGCTCAGGTAAGGTTTGCCGATTGCATCTTGCATCTTGAACCATTGTCTATGTATTGTGTGAACAACCCAAAGATATAAGTAAAGAAAGAAAACAACATAGGGAGAAAATAGACATACTAGAGGTATACTAAAACCATTTTTTCTTACGAAGAAATTCTCTGGTTCATTTTTGCGAGACGCTGTGTTAGAGACTCTAAATATTAGAGTCTATCGCAGTATTTGTTTATGATACAAGCCAATATATTAATGACGTAACGATACGTAACACTCAATTTTTTCGTTGTTCGGTTTTTATATAGACCTAGTTTCTATTATAATAGAAACTACGGGGTATACCCCGTGGTGTTTATTTTTACCTATCTATGTGGTGATTAAAATCCAATGTCAGCAATGCTTTTTTCGATTTATGTTTACAAAATTTGTGAAAGCGCTTCCTCAAAATTATAAGAATAAGCTAGAATTTAAACTATTGTACAACACAAATTACATCCGCAATTTATTTGATCCCCTCAACAATAGTCGCGGAAGATCCCGAAAAGGTAACAGGAAACCAGAACCGGATACTATTTGCAATATTCAGAAATCGATTCTTCATACTCGTACTTACATCTGAGACCATCGTTTTTATCTTAAACATCGAGAGACATCCAGAGCAGTGTAGAACAGAAAAAAAAACAGTATACTTACGCACAAAAGACCCGTCTCACATCTGCTATCCGGCGTATTATGAGCAGATGGTTTGAAAGGCCCTTGCGCTAAAAAAATCACTACCTGCTTATATTCATTGTTGTCTCGCAGTGTACTTATTCTTGAACTTGAGACGGTACAGACTGAGGGTGGCTATGTATACCAGAAGTGTAAGGATCGTTCTCACGGTTTAATTGAAATTAAATCGACTTTTGAATCGAAGCGATAGGGTTAGTGTATATGGTTCTAGTAGAGCCATAAGTATAAAGGATGTAAAACGTCTTTGATTTGTAAAAATTGTATTTTTAAATCTTCCACATTTTCTGCTGTCTTAAGCCAGGTACCCAACATATTTAAGACACGCGTAATTTCTACTCAACAATTTTTAACTAAGTATATTTTTACTGCTGCCTGAAAACTTATTGCCACGACAAGAGTTTACACAGTCTAAGATCTGCTCTCACAACTTGTGGCTACCCGAATCCTGCCCCCGTTCGATTGAATGCATGTATTGAAGAGAAATCCACGGCTCTATACAGCTTGAGTCCGCA